AGAGGATGTATTTCTGTGGGGTGAACTACCGTGAGGAAAATTACAAGATGCAGGACAGCCAAGAGGAAACCGAGATGGATATGCCAGCCGCATCCAAGAGGATTGAGGAGAGAGTGAGGGTTCTGGAGGACGAGGGGGTGGAGTTCATTAATATCCCAGTGCCCAAGTTCAGTGACAGTGACCCTGCTGACATCGTTCACGACTTCAACAGGGTGAGAGCCAATGTTTATCTCCCTGTCTCCTTCACCAAGCCATATGTGCACACACAACTCCAGGAGAGACACGTTGCCTGTTTCCCATCAGATTCCCAAAAAGAAACTACTTGTACCAAAATAGTAACACGCTGGTTTTCCTTCTTTGCTCTTAGAGACTGACAGCCTATCTGGATCTGCGTCTGAACAAATGCTACGTCATTCCTCTCAACACTTCTGTTGTGATGCCGCCCAAAGACTTCCTGGAGCTCCTGGTCAACATCAAGGTAACAACAAAAACAGAGCCTTAACTTGGTGAGCTGCCTACGTAGACATTCGAACAATGAGCAGAAATCCTGTGTGTGGTTAACTGGCAATGCTTAGCAAGCATGTGACGGTGTCAAGTCACCTTTATTTTACAATACAGATTGTTTCAAAGCAGCTTTACAGAACTAACAGGAAAATAATGCAACAAAGTTTGTTTCCAGAAGAAAATAGCGTCATAGTCCAGCTTAAGTAAGTTCAGTGAGGGTTCATTTTTGTTGTAAAAAAAGGTGTAACTCTGGTTGTGTTTGCAGGCTGGAACGTACCTGCCGCAGTCTTACCTGGTCCGTGAACAGATGATAGTGACTGGGAAGGTAGAGCATGTGGATCAGCTGGGTTACTTCATCTACGGACTCTGCAGAGGAAGAGACACGTACAAACTGGAGCGCAGAGAGACCGTTTTTGGTAAACACACATTCACTTTCCACCTATACTTGTGGCGAGAGTCCCATTGTTTTTAAGGCTAATTACACTCTTACAGAGTAATTGCTTATTGCCAATGAAGACATTTTTTCTTCTTTTTTTGGGGGGGGGGTGCTTTTATTAACCTTTTTACAATTTGGGCTTTAATACAGTAATAGGCTAAAAGTGATGTCCGGTGGGGATATTTGTTTTTAATGACCCTACATGTTTTATTAAAACATCTATATATGTGTAAAATATTTTATATTTTTTAAATAAAAAGGGAAACACTAAACTTGGTTAAGGTATTTGTCTGACAAAATTATTTGGCCAAAAAAAAGGGCAAACTACAGCTGCGTGTTTTTTTACTTTGCAAAAAATTCAAAGGGAAAGGCATAATTAAACTACAACATAATCAGTTATTAATATTTCATTGGTTCTCTCGTTTTTGCATGTGTTCATAATTTCTTTGTACGACAGCCTGCATGCCGTTTTCACAAATAAAATATTTCCCTCCAAGCACAACTATGTAATATGCTTAAAATCTTTAACAAATTTTTTATAGTATTTAAATAAAGGGTGAATGTTCATTTTTTCCTTGGCTGGAGATCTATTCAGCATAGATGCACATTTGTAATGTTACAAAAGATTTCTCTCTATGATTTTTGTGCTGTTTTATTTAAACTTTCAATTCATCAAAGAATCCTGAAATAAAATCTACATAAGAATGATTTCTGATGGATCATGTGACACTGAAGGCAAAGCTGAATTTTCAGCATCATTACTCCAGTCTTCACATGAATACATTTGAAATAAATTGAAATTTTCAAATTGTAAATAATATTTCAGAATATTACGGTTTACTTGTATTTTTATCAAATAAATGCAGCCTTGGTGAGAAGAGACTTCTTTTAATAACGTGAAAAATCGTACCATCTCCAAACAAATATATATATTTTACAATGTGTTCACCGATTTTTTAATTATTTAGCTCTGAAACCAGACACATAAATTCACATGGCATTTTTTTCTTTTCTCCAGGTATCCAGAAGCGAGAGGCTCTCACCTGCCACAAGATCCTCCACTTTGAGAGCAAGTTTGTTGTGGAGACGCTGATCTGTGAGCCGTAGTGTGGAAAAGACAGCTGGGTAACAAGAGAAACCACTTTTGACAAATTCCACTCTGACCCTTCCTCTCCTTCCATTAAGCCTCTTCCTGTTTTCCCCTGTTTGTGTGTGTGTGCGTGTGGGAGTGTGTGGTGCTCTCAGATTTGTTTCTCTGTATAGCAACAATCAATATTACAGAGAGAGAGAATGTGAATGAACGCAAAGAGCAATATTATGCGTAGAATTATGTGTTTAGGCAAACATTTGGACCAGTTTCTCTCTCTCTCTCTCTTAGTAAATATTTTTTCTGTGTCTAGGTTTTTGTTAAGCGGGGAGTTTAAAGTCTCCAACAGGGTGTGTGGGATCATGTATGACAGAATAACTAGTACCAAATTGACCGTGGGAGAGGGAAGGAATCACAGAGGATAAAAGTGTATGATGAAATCATTAAAAGATGCACTAAATGTTTAGTGTGCATATAAACTGTGAGCTGTCACAGATACCAGATTAAATACTGGAAAATATATTTGACTAGAGATTTGTGATATATGGCCAATAATTTACATGTAAGAATACACATAGAATTGATTTTTGTACTAGTTCCACTTTTGTCTAGATTTTTATTTTAAATGAAATGTTTCGCTCTGCTGTACGTTAATACACTGCTTAAACACGTCCTTTAGTCAAGAAATACAAATCTAGAGGATGTTAAACATCAGTTTTCCTAAACGATTATCCGAAACAAAATGCAGACTAATAAAATGTGTAGCTTTTATGTCATTTAGGGATTGCTGAGGTATTGGGTGTAGTAGACTGATGGAGGAATTATGTAAAGATCATTTAAATTTACTAAAATGTCTACCAGTTCAACATGAGTTGGAATGATTTATACTTTGCACATAACCCAAAAAGGTTTTAATGTTAAACTTAATACTAATAAAAATTTGACACCTCATTTTGCTTGTCTTCATTTCTGCTTTTTCTGAAGGAAACAAATCTTGGTAATCTGAGGTATAAACTCAGAGGTGGAAGGGAAACTCTTACAATTCTTTTTAAATTGTACATATTTTAAAACAAGATTTATGTATGAGGAACAATGACACTTTGCATAATTTCTTTCTTATCTGGAAAGGGTGTTATTTTTGGCCAACTAACCAATGGTCAACTAAAAACGGAGCTCTTGCATTAATCATGTGACCATTTATTTAAAAAAGGGTCCGTCAAATACATCTATATAAGTGCTTTTTAATACTCAAATGTCAACGAAAACTTATCCAGGTCTAAAAATATTTATCAGTGTATAAAACTGTTCTTTACATGAACCATAAATGATTAAATGTGGAATTAAAATTGCAGAGTAAGTTGTATGAGATGCTTTGGGGTAAGCTGTGTCAGCGATACTAGTTATTGTTTCCTTCATATTCAATGAAAGTATTTTATTACATTAAGATATTCTGAATATTAAACATTTTTCATAATTGATCACATTTTAAATTTAAATGGGATTGTTATTTTTGTCCATATTTTATTATATACCATTTACTATATAGACATTTCCTTCTAGTTTCACTTAATAGGAAACCCTAAAACATTAGGTAACGCTTCCTTTTACAGTACAGTACTTACCTAGAAAGTACTGGCTAATATAAGGTAAGTACATGGGTTAGGGGTAGGTTCAGGGTTAGTACCTAGTTATTACCCAGTAATTATAATTACTATAGTAAGTACATGGGTAACAGGACTGTAAAAGGAAGTGTTACCAAACATTATTGTTAATAGTGTTAATAGTAAATCTATCAAATTTCTCCTTCACTAGAGAGCGTGGTAGTGTAGGGACTGCTGTGGATTAGGGCTTCTGAACTCAGAAAGTTACGGGCAGGTGAATTTGATCAAGGTTGGAGCTAAACGGATCTCGAGGCCGGGCCAGAGTTATGAACCTCTGCTCATGATCTCGAAGTCTGGGCCCGGAGAAAACTCAAGAGGAAACGTGAGCAAGAAGACCAGATATATCCAGTTTATTCTCCATCAGCAGGAAAATCACAGAAATGATCAACATGCAAGACTCAATTCACACACCCTCACCACAGACCTTTCATTTCAAATAAAGATTTGCACACAGACAAGCAAGTCAGTCACCAATGATCCATAAACAGTGAAATCGATCCATTTCACGCTCACATACACACTCACACACATACATATAGACATCAAAGTACTTTATAGAAAAAGTCTCTGTGCATTGGTACAGTTCGTTCCACATTATCTGCATGTGGGTATGAGGATGCTTTAAAACTTGGGCTGGTTTCGGTTTGATATCTCTTCATCAAAAAAGAAAAAAGTCTGTTCTTCACATTTTGTAAGGTCTCCCTAAGATCACGTTTATCTCTTGTGCTTTAAAAATCTCTAGCTCGTCGACTGAGGGCTTTCGAACTGTGCCTTTGTTATTGCAGATAAATGGGGTTCTCTTGTCTCTACACCAGTCATACACCAACACAATAGTATTTCTATAATATAAATCAATATATAACATACATATAGAATAGTCTTGTATCTTTAAGTCCACAGTTGGTCAAGAGGGATGAATCGGAGGTTAAAGATCACACAATACACATCTTCTTCCTGAAGAACACCACATCCGGTGCCGAGACTCAAGAAACGACCTCTCGCATCCAAAAATATGACCATCCATCAACATATCTTTATGGCACAAACTTCCTGAACGATTTTATAGTGTTTTTTTTCCTCTCTCTTTTTTTTATCATACATACAAAGAATACACATACTTGCAAATATTTCGAGCAATAAAATCTTGTCGGAAAGTAATGAATGTAAAGGAATGGTGAGAAAAGTATTTTAAGGTTGTAGTCGGTCCCGTTCGTGATCCCAAACGCCACTGAAATCCTTTGGTATGTCCTAGACTGACTTCAAAATGAACTGCACTCAAAATGTAACAGTAAATAAAAAAATAAAAAAAAAGCAACAACAAAGAAATTCAACTTCCAACACAATGACAAACTAAAGAAGAAAAAAAAAGCCCACCTGTATCGAAGTGTTTCTATATGACCTGGCACAACAATGCATAAAATCCCTGTTCTGTCATTCTTGGCAAAAGCTTCTCTCTCATTTGCTGGTCAGTGACAGCACACGGTTAAGAGGTGATGTAAAAGGAACATGCACGTCCAAGGTGGCCCGTCTTCCGATTTCGTGATGACATGAAAGAAGATAACTGTCCTTCTACAAGTCAGAACCATTCCTCCAGAATACAGACGGATAGGAGCGAAAGCAAAGCGATCACTATCAACACAAGTCAAGCAAACCAACACTTTTCTGATACATGTTTCTAAGAGATTGAAATTAAGAGATGAATACAAGTTCCAAACGCATTTATCTTACACATTTCAACAGTTTTTCTCCCATTCAAATCCTCGCCACTGGTCACGACGCCTTCGTTTTTCCTGCAGCTCTCAGTTGGTTTGTTTTGAACAAGCCTGTGCATGACGTAGTGTAGCTGAACTCCCGTGTGTCTGAATGAGGAAGATGATGGGCAGAGGAGCAGTGGCTCAGTCAGCGTAATGCATGATGGACTCCACGTAGTTCCCCGGGAAGAGCCCCGTGGTGCCGCACATCACACCCTCGTACCAGCCGTCGTCGTTCTTCTTGATGACGTAAATGATCGCCCCCTCCTGGAAGGAGAGCTCGTCTTCTTTGTCGCGCGCGTAGTCGTAAATCGCCACCACTGATGGCAATAGCGTGATAAAAAGAAGGAAAACAGAACGTCAGGTTATCTTTTTATTCCGAGTTTTACTGTACGGCAGACTGTGCTACGCTGTAGATACTGTAAATTGGATAAGTAAGAGGATGCTGTTAGAAACACTTGATCAGCTGTGATTATGTTGTTCAAAATACAGCACAACCTCTCCTATCTTACTGCCATTTAGAAATAGTTTATACAGAAAAAAGGTATTTTATTTTAAAGGCAGATATTAGAAATGTTTTATTTATCGTAAAAGCTCTATACTGCATATTTAATTGTGCATGTTCATCTGCCCTAAACAAACACAATTAAATAGCATAGACCATTTTTAAACTTGAGGTATAAAAACAGCGTATCCACTGTTAAAGGTTGTATCAGCGATTTCAGGCCCAAACATAAATGATCACATTCATCTAATCTTTCCTAACGATCCGCTAGCTGCCCGCCCCATAAGCAGGCCGTCGAAAAAACGCGCGATCATTTATGTTTGGGCCTGAAATCGCTGATACAACCTTTCTTCATTCAAATCAATAGGAGCTGTACTTATAAACCTATTACCTACATGGAAAAAGCTTTTCTAAATGGCCAAATGAGTGTTTAAAGTACACTGTGAGAAAAACAGTGACATGCCTTTCTCCAGGTAACTGCGAGGGGCCCATGGCGGGTCTTCTTCAGCGTAAGGGTCACTGTACTCCACCACTGCTGACTCTTCCTCATCATCACCCTCCTCATCCTCATAGTCCTCTGGAGGAGGCGGGGGTGGGGTTGCCTCCTCAAACTCCACCTCTTCTGCGGGGGGCGGTGGTGGAGGTGCGTCTGAGACTGAAGGGATGGAACAAATAATCTTGTTTTTTAAAGCAATTTCTGAAGAAATTGGGTAACTTCTTTTTGCTGATGTGAGACAAATGACTCATGCTGGATGGGGAAGTTAAAGGGATAGTTCACCCAAAAATGAAAATTCTGTCAGTAATTACTCACCCTCATGTTGTAAACTTGCCGGCTCAGAAAGTTAGTAAAGACATCGTTAAAATAGTCCAAGTAACTACAGTGGCTCAACTATTGGCCGAGGCTGGTCATGTGTGTGATGCTGGCCAATAGTGAGCCTACGTTCTGACGTACAACCCAGAAGTGCTGCGCTGTTACAAAAATTAATAGTTGAATAAAGTAAAGTCGTTATTTTTGTTTGTTTTTTTGGGCACAAAAGGTATTCTCGTCGCTTGATAAACTTATGGCTGAGCCACTGTAGTCACTTGGACTATTTTAACGATGCCTTTACAAACTTTCTGGGCCGGCAAGTTTCAATTACAATAGAAGCCTATGGAGAAGTGATCCAGCTCTCAGATTTAATCCAAAATATCTTAATTTGTGTTCCGAAGATGAACGAAAGTCTTACGGGGTTGGGACAACATAAGGTGAGTACCGGTAATTACTGACAGAATTTTCATTTTTGGGTGAACTGTCCCTTTAAGGAGGAAAATGTATTAGTAAGGAAATTAGGGAGTACTACATTTAGGGAGGGAAGAATAACACTGACCTCAAAACAGCTGTAATAAGAAGAAAAAGGGAACTTCACAAAGGCCATGTACACACTGCAGCTAAATAAGGGTAGGCAACTAAGGTTTTTCCCACACCACATCATCTCAGAAATGATATATTTGAACCCTTTCAGTCTGAATAAAGTGTTATGAGATCAAATGAATATTATCAGCCTGACTCTTATATGCTAGTTTTATAGAATCACTCAAAAAGACAGTCATTACTTTCAATCATGTCTGACGTGAAATGAACCAAGAAGTGGTTCACATGCAGAGCACATGCTGTTGTTAAACAGTGTCCGTCACGTTGTTTCAGTGTGTACGTGGCCTAACACTGTGTCCTAACCAGATGTGACAATCCAACATATGAAAAAAGTATATTTTCCATATTAATCAAACGTTTTTGTCCTAACCAGCTGCGACAGTGATACGCGACCAGCAACAGGGGACTCTATTTTTAACCGGTTTCTATTTCTGCAACAAGAACAAGAACATACAAATTATATGTCCAATGACAATGATAACCTCAGGTACTGAATATAAAAGGGTTTTATTTCATTTTGAATATCACTATGTGTGACTTTAATAGCCATAATGAAAGAGACAATGGATAATTTACCTCAGATCTTGGAGAAAAAATATAATAATCAAGACGGTATACACCGATACCAGCTGAGCTTTCTCGTGCACTCTTTTCTCCCGTGTTGGGAAGGTTTCCGCGGTACGCGATTGGGCTAGTTTTGGCCGTGATTGGGTGGGTTTTGAATAGCAATTGGACTGGTTTTATTACGCAAACCAGGCAACCCTGCACCTGCCTCCTCTCACTCACTCGTCGCATTAGTTTCGAATGAATAGTGTTAGAGTTGCAGGGCCTGAGTTTCGGTGTAGTGCCAAATTCCCATGACCCACCGAATTCTGTGAACCATAGTAGGTGCTGTAGTGAGGGTAGGGTTAGGATTGGGATTGGGATAAGGAGTAGGTCGGATTAGCTCAATACAGCGCCTACTAGGGTCACACAATTCGGCACAACACCGGCGCACGGTTGCAGGTATTAAGCATAAATTTACTCATTCCCACAGTTACACACTCACACCAACCTGTCTCTATATTCTATATTTATTTGTGCTATCGTTTGCAATTTGTTTATGTTTTTATTTTATTACTGACTTCTTTTACTGAAATTTAGTTCAGTGTTTCAAATAAAGCCTCGTTGTGTAAGCTATTGCAACAAATGTACCCAAATTATCAAAGAATTATGAGATGATAAAAATATCTATAAGGCAGTTTTCCCAGTGGTATCGAATATCGATATTTTTCAAGGTATCGTATCGAATTTAGAAACTCCAGTATCGTGACAACACTAGTTAAAACTGTGAACTCTGTGTGAACAAACAAGTGTATTCATGACAAAGTCACAGAGAATGTATAACATTTATACATTTTTATTCATTTTATAAATGTTACTCATCCATTTCATTGTGAGTGTGAGATTGCCCACACACTCTTCTGATTGGCTGTGATTTATGATTGATTTTGTTGAGTTTTGTAGCCTTGTCGCTTGTCACTGGAATCTAATTGCATTGCAGCTGGTGAGGACATGCAGGGAGTTTACAACACTAATGTCTAAAATGAGCATGCAAATGTTTAAAAAGCATGCACAACCAGTCAAACACAAAAACATTTTCCCCAAACCAACAACTTACTGGTCTCCTGAACCCGAGCCACAAAGCCCATGAGTGGTAGCTGGGGGGTGATCTGGAGAATAGAGGGGGGTGGAGGAGGGGCCATAGGGGCTGCCCACCCCAACAACAGGGACAATTTGGTACAGAAGGGAAAAAAGGGAAGAAAGGGAAGTGTGAAAAAATGTGGGTGAAACAAAGGGAAGGACAAGAGAGGAAGTTGAAAAGAAAAAAGAAGAAAAGGAGATGGCAAATGAAAGAAAAGAGAGAGAACAATCAGATCAAATCGGTAAGACAGAGGTCCACTGGTCTAAATGACATGCATTCTAATTATTGTAATTATTTTCTACCATTATATGAGGACATTTGAGCATGTCTGGTCTCTACCTTGGTTTAGGTTGTAGTGTGGCCCTCCATTGAGCTGGTTTTGGATCATGTTTGGATTAGTGTTTTGAGGCATGTTGTTGGGCTGTCCAGTAACTGATGACGGCCGGCGATAGGGCAGGGAACCTCCCACAGAGGGCGTGGGGTGCCGCGTCATTGGCCGGTTCATACTGTAAAAGTGAGGACCGTTGCCTGGGGGATAGAGAGATAAGAAATAATAAAACTAATTCTGTTGGTACATCTCTGAATCAGTATGGAATACACAATAAGTAGACCATGGTACATTCAACGGTATATGGAATGAACTGAAGACATGCTCTTAGCTGCCTCACTCTCTTTATTTATTTAATTGGCAAGTAGCCGTGTAATAAGCGTGATAGCACAGAGTCAGCCTTCATTAATCACAAAATAATGAGCGGCTTTGAGGCTGACTGTACATTCCTTACATTATACACACCAATACTGAGTGAAACAGTGTATTTTAATCAGATTGAACACTTTAGCAATGAATGACATACAATACTGCCTGGTTTTAGCCAAAAAGAGGTATCATACAAGGCAACATATGCTCCTTAAAAATCATGTCTTAAAATACCGTCTAGGTAGGTAGCTCATTAGTTCTTGAACAGAGCTATGGAAAACAATATAACCTCCAATATAACCTTTGTCCATGTAAAAATGTTGGCCCTTCTCATCATTAAAAGTAAATAGTCCCAAAACAGTCCCTAAGAAGCATGTTCAGGAAGCAGAGATGGACCAATGATGTGATGGAGACGTCACTGGGAATGTAATCCTGCCAAGAACTGGAGCACAGATGCACAGTGAGCCAAGACAAACCAAGCCCATGCAGGTGAAACCTGGGTGAGGTGGAGGAGGGATGAGTGCTGGGTGAATCACGCATCACATGTTCACGTGCAGGTTGTCACTCAAAGATGAACGATGGACTTGAGGTGTGGGTGGACTTGAGGAGGGGGGTGAGGGGACTCACCTTGAGCGGGGGTGCTAGTTGCAGCAGCAGGGTTGGTGTTGGTGCTAACAGGAAGGTTGGGGGGCAGCTGTGGGGGTTGTGGTATCTCAGGAGGGCCCTCTGCTGGCAGAGCGGGGGGAGGGGCAGGGGCGGGGGGCACTGGCTCTGGGGTGGGTGGTGGCGGAGGTACGGGAGGGGCAGGGATAGTAACGCTTGGAGGGGGTTTCGGAGGGTTGGGAGGGGCGGGTGCTGTACCTGCATCTCCGCACGCCACACAGAGACAGGAAGCCCAGGGGAGAAGAGAACAAGAGTGACAGAACAGAGGGAAGAAAGGTCGAAAGGAGAAACAAGGCCACAGGGAGGAGGGATAGGAACAGCGAGTGAAAAAAGAGGTAAGTAGTGAACAGAAAGAGAAGTTATCATCGCTAATAGTGGGACAGGAAATAGCACTTTCAATGTAGCAAAGATACTTCCTTCAGAACCTTGGACAGTCCTCAGATTCATTTACTAATACTTAAGGCCTTGATATACTCACAGCAAAGTTTGTTTTGTTCAACTTTCCTCTCAATAACACAATAAACAACAAAAATGACAGTGGTGAGAAAAAAGCAGTTAAGAAAGCATCTGATCACAGGGATGTTAAAGGAGAACTCCGGCGCAAAATGAACCTTTGGTCTAATTACACATTGTTACCTAGTCAACCGTTATCTGAGATTTGTTTTCATGATTATCGAATGTAAATAGTTTTATCTCTAAAAACAGTTTAGCCTATAAAGCTAGTATAACGCTAGTATATTGGGCATAGTGTAATGACAAATAAAAATCGCTTGTTAATACCACTAACAAGGCTCAAAATAGCCCCACACTAACACGGTAGCATAATGAGGGTCCCTACCTTCAAACCGAAGCATTGAGAACTTTGTCAGTGTCCAGACAGTTTAATAAGAAGATATTTTAAACATACAGTCAACTTCGCGTATACAGGCAGGAGCCATCTTTGAAATACAGCCTTTACCAGTCGATCTACGAACGCCGATCCAAGCCTGCTGTTCGCGCTCACCTTGTCACAACTTATAGCTCGTTCACATTCTCACCAGCGCACTTGGATCGGCGTTCGTAGATCAACTGGTAAAGACTGTATTTCAAAGATGGCTTCTGCCTGTATACGCGAAGTTGACTGTATGTTTAAAATATCTTCTTATTAAACTGTCTGGACACTGACAAAGTTCTCAATGCTTCGATTTGAAGGTAGGGACCCTCATTATGCTACCGTGTTAGTGTGGGGCTATTTTGAGCCTTGTTAGTGGTATTAACAAGCGATTTTTATTTGTCATTACACTATGCCCAATATACTAGCGTTATACTAGCTTTATAGGCTAAACTGTTTTTAGAGATAAAACTATTTACATTCGATAATCATGAAAACAAATCTCAGATAACGGTTGACTAGGTAACAATGTGTAATTAGACCAAAGGTTAATTTTGCGCCGGAGTTCTCCTTTAATATGTTTGAATAGGGGATTCAAAGACTAGTCGATTACTCTACCATGATGCTTTAAGCTTGATCATGGCCTATAGGAGGGCACAATCTTTGAAGTCCACCTTCACGCTCCGTAAAATGACAAATAAGTGCATACTCCGAGAGTGCTCCACAATATATGTTTGATTATACCATCTAGATGCTCAAAATTCGCCGTTCTAAATGAATGTGCTGCTGCATTGTAACGCACGCACACACAGACAGTCGCTTGCACATCACGTGCCGATCATGTGCACACAGAAACATTCAATAGTGCAGAAATGTATTGTTCAGTGATTTATCAATAAAATAGCTTAGAAACTGAAAAGTTTCTTGGTAACTAAAATCCACAGCTTCACTATTAGTAGAGACGCTGCCAGGTAGAATTAATTCACAAAATGTGCGAGAAATGTAACGATCCAAAGACAAAAGTTAAAATATAAATAAAAATAAAATAAAATAAAAATAAGCTGATATGTAGGAGCAATATCCTTGTGGGCAGCGCTGTGTCATATGCCATAGCTGTGCACAAGGCAACCCGCGTTCGAGTCTCAGCTCAAGGTTTAGGCTTATTTGTTTATTAATGACGTCATCAGAGACTAGTCAACTTGACTTTAATCACAAAAATGTCGACTTTAAAAAATCTGAAGTCGTTCAACCCCTAGTTTGCACGTCGGCACTCCAATCAAGTCACATCACGTTTATTTTTATAGCACTTTATACAAGAGACTGCTTTAAAACGAGCAGCTTTACAATGTTAAACATGAAAAACAATGCCAGTGTTTCTTTCTATTAGAATTACAGCTTCAATTTATACTAGTACTCCCGAAACAAACTTCGTTTTGGCCTGATTTTGTTCGGAATGACATCACACCAGTTCGTTCTTCGATTTCACTTGAAGTATATCGGAGCTCTTACACAAAGAGTGGAAATCTCACCGGGAAAGGCCGTGGGCGGGGCAGGAGTTGGCACGGCGATGGGCACGCCCACACTTCCACTGCCACTGTTCTCTCTGCTGCTGCTGCGACTGCTGGGATGACTGCCACCGCTGCTGCCACTGCTGCCACACACAAAACACACATCATGCTAGTTAATGTCAATTGCCATTTGACAGTTTTAGTTCCGTAACTTGATGTCTTGAAACAGGATAAAGAATGGGGGGAGGGGGGGCTTGATATTTGTTCGTTAAGAACTGATTAGATCTTCAAAAGTGGCCGTTTCACACCAGAATGGAGCCAGACTGAATGAGAGTAAGCTTAAACAATGCTAAATAACTGTACAACCACAATAATTTGCACCGATGAATCATTCACAACAAGGAGTGAGCAAAAAAGTAATTAGGGTCAATTTCAGGTTGATTTTAAACAGCACACATAAACAAACATTAATATTCCTTAAAACAGCCTCATACTCGGTCTTGCATAGTTCATTCTGCCCTTACCAAAAAATCCACATGAAAAATAATCATTTCAGTACATTTCACAAAATCATAAAAACGTATTTGACCAGACCAATTAATCAATTAATATTTAGGCTATTTTCAGATTATCACCTGATAACTATAAGTAAAATAATTTAATCAGCCTGGTCGATATTTGGCCTTTTTTTAGATTATGAAATGGCCAGGAAGAACAACAGTCCCATATTTGGCAATTTTCATATATTATCGGCTGATTATTACTAGTGGCAGACTTTTTTAAAAGCCTGCCCAATGTTCTGCCAATATTTTGAACTTAAAATCAAAAAAGAGAACTCCAAGGCACTCTCAATTGAAAAAGTTAAAAAGCCTTTATTATTATGGCTTGGTCAAATTAACCATCTAAAAAAATAATTTTTTGAACTTGTCAAATTATCAGGTAATAGCAAGTGTTAGACTGATTTATCGACCAGGCAGATTAAAATCCCTATATTTGGCCATTCAGATAATCAGCATCAGCTGACATTCATGTCCACATAGCCACATAGCAAGTATTCTTCTTATATCAGGTTTAAATTTACCAACAGGCTTGTAATATTGTGCATTCCCTGTTTTTAAATATTTTTTAGGTATTTAGTTTAAATGATTTTGCTCTGTTAACCATTAGTCAAAATAGAAACTACTGTTTTTTTTAAATCACTCCCCCTTGATGAACAATTTCAGTCCAATTTTGATTAATGTAATTTATATACAGTCATGTGAAAAAGAATGAACACCCTCTAGAATTTTATGGTTTTATGTATCAGAACATAAAAATCATCTGGTCGTTCACCGGTAAACACAACCTCAGACATATTACACCTTGCCATTATTTATTTAACAAAGATAAAGCCCAAATGGAAAAGCCATGGGTGAAAAACTAAGTACACCCTATGATTCAATTGCTTGTAGAGCCACTTTTAGCAGTAATAAGATGGAGGAATCGTTTTCTGTATGACAGCATCAATCTCTCGCATCGTTCTGGAGGAATTTTGACCTGCTCTTCTTTATAACGTTGCTTCAGTTCATTGAGGTTTGTGGGTATTTGTTTATGCACAGCTCTCTTAAGGTCCCGCCGCAACATTTCAGTCGGGTTGAGGTCTGGACTTTGACTGGGCCAGTGCAACACCTTGATTCTTTTCTTTTTCAACCATTCTGTTGTAGATTTGCTGGTGTGCTTGGGATCATTGTCCTGTTGCATTACCCAATATCGGCCAAGCTTTAGCTGTCGGACAGATGACCTCACAGATTTGACTAGAATACTTTTTGTATACAGAGGAGTTCATGATAGACTCAATGACTACAAGGTGCCCAGGAGGACCTGTGTCTGCGAAACAAGACAAAAATCATCAAAACTCCATCAGCGTGATGGACAGTTGGTATGAGGTTTTTGTGAGTTTTCACCTAACTTGGTGCTCTACATTATGGCCAAACATCTCCATTTTGCTCTCGTCTGTCCAAAGGACATTGTTCCAGAAGTCTTGAGGTTTGTTCAGATGCAACTTTGCAAACCAAAGCCGTGCTGCCATGTTCTTTTTATTAAAGAGGAGAAGTTTTATCCTGGCAACCCTTCCAAACATGCCATACTTGTTCCGTCTTTTTCTAATTGTACTGCCATGAACTTTAACGTTTAACATGTTAACCGATGCCTGTAGAGTCGGAGGTGTACCTGAGCAATGCATGATCTGACCTTGGGGTGAATTTGCTTGGACGTCCACTCCTGGGAAGATTGGCAACTGTCTTGAATGTTTTCCACTTGTGAATAATTTTCCTCACTGTACACGGACTTCAAATTGTTTGGAAATGGCCGTATAACCCTTCTCAGATTGATGGCAGCAACAATTGCTCCTCTAAGATCATTTACATTGGCTTTTATAGAGGTGATCACTGATCACACTTGCTGATGATCAATTAATCAAAGACATTTGATTAGCAGCGCCTGACTGCTATTCTTAATTCATATGGAAGTAGTAAAGGTGTATTTAGTTAATGACACTGTGTAATGTCATGTGTTGTTGTTAATCTGAGATTGTATTTACCTAATTTTAAAACCTGCCAAGGACCAGATTACTTTTTATGATGTCCTTATAAATAAAACCATAGAATTCAATAGGGTGTCCTTTCTTTTTCACATGACTGTACTACCGTTCAAAAGTTTAGGGTAGTTTAGTTTCTTTTAATGTTTTTAAAATTCTTTTTTATTTGATCAAAAATACAGTTAAACAGTAATATTATGAAATATTACTACAATTAAAAATAACTGTTTTCTGTTGTAATATATTTTAAGTTAATATTTTAAGCTGAATTTTCAGCATCATTACCTATTTTTTTTTCATTACTCATCATTCTAATATGCCGATTTGGTGCTCAACAAACATTTCTTATTTATCAATGTTGAAATCAGTTGTGCTGCTTACTATATTTTGTGGAAATGGTGATCCTTTTTTTCAGGATTATTTGATGAATAGAAAGTTCAAAAGAACAGAATTTATTTGAAATAGAAATCTTTCGTAACTTTTTAAATGTCTTTACTGTTACTTTGGATCAATTTGATGCATTCTTGCTGAATAAAAGCATTAATTTCTTTCAACAACCTTGGAATGGTAGTGTAATACAATCTACAAAGAAAGATTTCTTCATGCATACACATCTGTCATGGTCATGAATTGAGGGATAGTGGGTGAAAATCTGAGAAGAGGAAGAGGAGGAAGCGTTCTGTAAGAACGTGATTATGGGCTCTCTGTTTATCCCCTGAGATTCTCAAAATCAGAGCGCTGAGGATGCAAACAGCAAAGAGATGAGGTGAAACGGGTAAGAAAGACTGAAATAGAAAAAGACGGTGAGTGAAAGAGCAGGAAAGAGCTCTTCTTTAAGTAGGCTATGGCTGTTTGAACCCCAAAAAAGATCCAAGTATGAGAAAGAGAGAGAAAGCAAAGGAGAAGAAAAGAGAAAGTTAGTGAGTGACTGTTACTTTGGCCGAGAGTCACACTGCCAGACAACATACACCAAACAAAGACAGCTTAAAAACAGAACAACAGCGGCAGGAAAGACAGACAAGAAAGGAAGAGGATGCGGAAGAAAAGGGTGAGGAAGTGTGAGGGACCTTTTTTTCCTTTTCAAAGTTTGTTTTTAAGCCTGTCTAGGGGATAATGCTGTGTGTGTGTGTGTGTGTGTGTGTGTGCGAGTACCTGTACGTGCGGGTCCTCTGATTAACGGATGCAGTTCTAGCCGGGCTCTGCAGGGGTGGTGCGGTGTTGCGTGTTGGACTCTGCACATAGTCGTTAGGGACGACGGGTGGACGCACAGGCTCAAGTGTCCGGTAAGGGGAGTGCCGCCTGCCAGGGGGGCGGGGTTAAAATATTTTAATATCCTCTAAGGGGTGGAGTCAAACATCATTGATGACAGACCCCAATAATTACATACTGGGAGATATTGTATCACATCTTGTAGAGTAAAAATCCATTTAGAATATTACAACAGTAGCGTAGAGCAAACCTCATGAGTCATGTCTAAATTATAGTTTTTTTAGATCTCAGGAGTAACTAGGGTGGGCAGTAGAGTTCGGTACCAAGTCAGTACTGAAATTTAAAAAAATGTTACGCTTTGAGCGCTGTTGAGTGGAATCTTAAACATCTCTGATTGCCCATTGTGCTCACGCTCTCATCGGATATGTCTGTGATTGGCTACAATGATCAGCGCTTCAAAAATATGTTGTAAATATACATCAATGACGATCTTCACCGAGCACTTACACAGATACAGACGGGAGTGTTTGAAAGCAGACGCCTATAGACGCCTGCTTGAGCTTTCAAACCCCCCAGTTTTGAAAGACACTTTCAAACACTTCTGTTTGCTCTCAAACGCTCCCGTGTGTTAACCATTGTAGCCAATCGCAGACATATCCAATGACCGTGTGAACACAATGGCCAATCAGAGGGGTTTACGTTTCCACTCAACAGCGCTCAAAGCGTCACAATTTTAAAATTTCAGAACTGAAACTCTAGTGGGCAGCATGACCAAAATAGATCAAGTTATGAGTAATTTTATTTCTAAATCTACAAATAATATGAATATTAATGGAATATAAGACACTAAAGTTATTTTAACTTGACTTTATAAATAGTCACCTGAAAATGCCTTGCCTATAGACAATTTAGTGAATTAAACACTTTACAAATGAAAGATACTTTATTAGAAGTAGACTGAAAATTGGTTTGACCAATACTTTTTACACTTTCAGGTTATCGGTTCTTTAAGTCTACTAATAATTGACTATGTTTACATGTACCCTCATAATGCGATTATAATGAGATTCAGGCAATACTGCGATTAAACCATGTAAACACAATATTTCACTCAAAATGACGCAATTAAGCTCATAATCGTATTAACCATAATCGTAGCAAAACGTGGTGTATGGCAATTTCTGGGTCACGATAAACAGGCATGTAAACACTCTTGACTAAAGTGTGCACATGCTTGTGACGTACAGGGATGGCGCTGTCATGCGCAAACATAGCGGTAAAGGAGGCAACACATTTTTGGGTTGCTGAAGAAACTGAGCTCACGTTGACAAAGCTGCACGACATGAATAGATCGCAGTATTTTGATGGACGAAAACATAAAAATGAAGACATTTTAGGTGTATCACCGAAAAATCCATAGAAATGTTTGTTTTTTAAACAATAACGGGTTCTTCCTCATCTTGTTTGGGATACGTCCCACTCTGCATGTTCACAATAATGTATGTTTCTTCACGGTTTCTTTCACGGTATGAGGAAACTCTAACGGTGATAAATTCATACAGTTGCATATTATATATCGTCATACTGCCCATCACTAGCAGGAAACTATTATGTAACGGCCGGGTAGACATTTAAAGGAGCCTGTTGTGGTGTATTAAGATTGTCTGAATTGCTTGTGGTTGGTCGTTGTGTTGCCATGGTGACAGTGAGGGGTTAGGGGCCGTGGACATGGGCGGGAAGAACACAGTTGAGGTTTAACAGTAACAAACATCAGCTGTAAAAACTCAATGACATGAAATAATAATAACAGATCACAAACACAACATGACATTTTGTTCTCCACATTGACCTGTAGTGGCAGAAAAAGGCACAAAGACTAAAACACACAGATCCAGAACAAATAAGTGTCTCAGTCCCTGAACAGAGAACAAGCCAAAACTGTTAACTACACAGAGTCGTAGATGTGTGTGAGCCTGGCTGTCAGGGATCAAGATTAGATAAGAGATGGAGAGAAAGAGAATTTCCTTTTCAAACACCATGTCAACACATGTGCACAATAGAATCTCATAATTTAAAGGGGTAATATCATATACATTTTATCATATTATTTTGCTCCTGGATGCAAAGTTTTTTGCACTGAAATACGATGCAAAAACAATTCAGATCAGACTTAAAATGCTCAGAGACCTTATTAAAGATGCACTCAGATGTAATTTTACTCAGATTGTTCCAATGACTTTCAATGTCAACTTCCAGCAGCACGGATGCAGAATTACGCACAAGAAACTTTTTCAGTTATATGTGCTATTCAGTTATTCACAAATAAATTATTCTGTGAGAGAAAGGGGAGTTAGCAAGATAAAGATATATTCTCTGAAGGCGAAGCACTGCTACTTGGGCGGAGTGATAACCGCAGCACCTGAGACGCGCCGTGGTGAGGAGCAGAGAGCGCGTCTCAGGTGCTGCGGTTATCACTCCGCCCAAATAGCAGTGCTTCGCCTTCAGAGAATATAGTTCCCAGTATTTATACGGTTAAAATATGTCTGTGTCTCATGTGACTTTGTTTTTTGTACACTCTGTGACTATACAAATCACAACATGTAAATAGGAAAATGTTTGCGTTATTTTGTCACTTATTTGGATTAGTATGCTAGCTGCAACCATTTACATCCAGTCTTTGTGCTAAGCTAGGCTAGCGGTGGGTGCGTCAAACAGACTTATAGCACGCACGGAGATGAAAAAGGTATGTATGGACTTATCTAACTCTGGGGGATAAGGTGAATTGGCTAAAGTCCCAAAAAGTCGGAGAGTTCCTTTAATATAACAGCCCAAAATATGTAGGACCTTCCCAAAATTTACTCTAATTATTAGTTCTACAGGTGTTCCGAAATAATAGTGCCTATTGTACTTATATTACCTTACCAAATTGGCATTATTGACACAACTAAATGTTTAGTACTGATAGATAAATTGTGACTGGAGTCATACTGCATTGAGGCTGGTTAGGACACAATGTTATTTTCAACAAATGATTTTTGTGTGCCGGAGCCCAAGTTTTGAGTTCTGAACGTTTCAGACTGTTTTCATAGTACAATGAGCTCTTTTAATCTAGGAAAGATGAAGGAAAATGTGATCCCCCTTTAAGGACTGCCTGTTCTTTCTATAAAAATCAAGACCACACAAACTTATTTTAAAATAAGTTTGACAAACAAAAGCTCCTTTTTTATATTAATGAACCACAGCGAGTTTCATCTCCAGTCTAGAAAGCTATTTGACAGAATATTTCTGTTCTCCCATTCAATGAAACTACATCTGTAAACAACTATGAAATGTATGTCTGGGTAAATATCTCATAAATATCTTATGTTACTTTCACAACAATACAAATTATTACTTAAAGGGATACTTCAGGATTTAGCATTAAGCTTTGTATTAGTAGAAAACCTGTAGTATTTTCAAATTAGCGTGCTTTCCACCCTCATATCCCCCTGAGACGAGAGATTTATGTACTTTTTGTCTGGGAAAAAATCCTCTGATGACGCAAAAATCGTCATTTTGCGTCATCGGCGGATTTTTTGGCCAAGGGCTAAAGACTACAGTCAGTAGTAGGGGCTGTCCTGCATGTTCTCAACCCGCCCATAGAGGGTGGGATCTCACTCACAGAATGTACACATAGTGTCAGACATCTTTTTTGGAAGCTAAGCTAAGCTAGCAGGCTCTTGTTCTGTGGAGAAAGCTGAGTAGTAGGGGTTACCATCCTCTTTTTCCCGGACATGTCCGGGATTCAGCTTTTGCTTTCTGCAGTCGCCATTCATTGTTTACATGCACACCTTTTGTTTCAATCTAACTGAATTCATTCCGATTGGTGAATCTGAATGTAGTGTTTACATGAACGCTAAACAAGTGATCGGTTGATGTGCGTTTTAACATTGCTAATAAAATTCCCGCTCCTCCGTGAGAGATACGAGACTGGTGCGTCTCACAGGTGTCGCTCATCGGTAATCACGCCACCGGCCTCGCGCTGTTCTCCCGCGGCCCTCACTCGTCCTGCTCGCCACAGTAAACAATGAATGGCGACTGTAGAACGCAAAAGCCGAATCTGGGACATTTTGGGCCATCTCGAAATCCCGGGCAGACTAATCACGGAGACTCACTAGTAGCCTAGACTTGCTGTTTAACTACTGCGCTCTGTTGCCGGTAGGCGTGGCCTCCTAGGGCAGCCAAGCAAGTGCATTCTGGGAGTTGTGGTCTTTCATCCACATAAGCCAAAAATACATTTTCTGGCTTTTCTCAGTCTAGAAAGCTCCAAATCCAAAAATAATTTCACATTTCTTCAACATAAATGACCCATTTTAAATACACATTCATCTTTCCAGAGGTGAAGTATCCCTTTAAAATGTATGCATGTCATGAAAAAAGCAGGTCCTCTATCTAACTTACCCCAGTGTTCCTTTGCCTGGGCCAGGAGGGCTGGGTGGTTTCTGAGTCGGGGCAGCTGTGCGTGGAGTTGTACCTGCTTTCATATTCTGAGCGTTGACCTGTGGGGCAAGTGTCAAATATTATTAATCTGAGTGGGAACAAATATAGACAGACATTATACCACATACACAAAACACACATCAACCAAAACCCGACTAAATCCTTACCTTAAACCTTAGTAACCACTACATTCAGAAATGAAGGCAATAAGAGAGGTTGAGGAGAAAAAAGAGATACAAACCGTTAGTGTAAAGAGTAAAGAAAAACTCACACAATATGAAAATACATTCATATTAATAAGGATGCACAATCTGCCAATATTACCATTTTTAAATGGTAACTTAAAGGTGCTGTAGGCGATTCTCTGCAGACATTTTTTTTGTTAAGCTGGTTGAAAGTCTCCTCATATCCTGATAGCAATCACTCTGTTAAGCGGTCTAAATGTATTTTTATAAATATATGTCGTCTGTGGAAGGCGTGGGACCATAAAATCTTCGTTCAATCATTGCGTTCGGTCCGAACGGTCCTATAGCATGTGTTCCCCAATGTGTGTTTGCATGCCACTGCGCAGGCTGTTCACGCAGACATAAGTCATCAGCGCGTTCACATACGCTGTGCAGACAGAGCGCGAATGGCAGGCAAGCAGCAACCACCGAACTTTCCTTCTGAACCGACAACAAGTGGCACTGGCAAAGGATCTACGATCTATATATCTTCATCGGAGTCAAGCAGACTCTCGTGGAAACCCTTATTACACACTGACAAGTTTTGCTAGCTAAACAAACCGAAACCTTGCTGCATCAAATTCTGTTTTTAAGAATTTGTTTACGTTTGGTATTGTAGTGTTATTACTGTACTATAAAGTTCTCTCACCGGTGAATGACATGATATTGGTATTGCAGTAACGTTGTCTCCGGTCTTGGCTGTGCGCGTTCATGCTTTCAGGAGGCGTGGCTTTGGACGGCGATTTGCAGGGAGGGTGGGACGTACGCTTTTACTGCTATCAGGCTAAAGCTAGCATTTTCCCAGATGTCCTACAGCACATTTAAATGTATTTTTGTTTATGTAGTCCAGGCTGATATAGCAGTTGTTTTGAATGTATATTGCCACCTAACAGCATGAAGATGTAGAATCAAGCTTTTTACAGTCAGCCATGATTAATTTATACCACAAGCCAAAGTATCCAATAACAGGGGGATGTAAAAGAAAAAACATAATTATCACATATGAACTTTTTTTTTTTACTTAATTACTTTAAATGCTCTGAATTTCCCCATATCTGAAGCAGATAATATCAGGACTTTTTATTTCATTTTCAACAGATTACTCCTTTTATGTGCCCCAAAATTTCTATATCATATTTCTATACCCACCACCCCAAAAATATATTCAGGTTTAATCATATTTAACTTAATACAAATTCCACCCTAGTCAGCGCTCTTACAAATGCAGACATACAGAGTTTGGCTTCATCCCTACCTTTACGCCGTGGCCTACGTCATCCAGCAAACTGTAGTCAATGGGTTTGCGGATGTAGCGTACAGGCCTCTCAGGATTGGCTGGTGCGATGATCTTGTGCGTGCGGGAAGTGTTCTTATTGGTGGTGAGGATGCCAATCTCTCGCCTGGCCACCTTCTCTTTATGGATGTCCACCGTCTGCGGAGAAACGTTGTTGTGTGATTTGACGTACAGAAATGTACATAGTAACAAAGCAAATTACAGGTTTTTGTATGAAATCAAAATCATGTTTAAATCAAAATATAAAATCTATTTTGATTAATATAAAAGTGCTGCTATGTGCCAAAGTTTAATATTTAGGCTTTTTGATTTTAATAAACCACTTACTTTAAGTATGAGCAATAGTAAGAGTGATGCTTTCCTTAGAAAATGAACTGAATGTAGAAACAAAACTCCAATGTACAACCCTGTTCCAACTCACAAAGTTCAATATACCGACAAACCTAGATGTTTCTATAGCAGTAAGAATTACCTGTGAGATGTGGTTGATGGACGACTCCATGCGGCGTAGCTGGGACGCCTGTATATCCAGCATCTGGAGCACATTGTTGGCAAGAGTGTTGATCAGATACGCTACACTGGCCAAAGACTGAGTGGTGTAGCTTTTGGTTTCTTCTAAAGCTCTGTGCTTATCTGGAGACTAGATGGAGAGAAAAGAAGGAGAGAGGGAGTTAATCTGAGCACAGAAGGATGGATAGAGGTGAAAGAGAACATGATATTGCCACATGGCCTAATTTCTACTCCCTCGTTTTCACTCCCCTTTAGGGGTGAACGTCTGATGCATATTGCACACAAAATGGGAAACACTTCAGAAGTTTTGAAGTCATCATCTGATCGGTTGAATAAATCTGATTCTGTCGTAATGCCAAACCCCCTCATGGAAGAAGAAAGCCATTGTGTTTACAACTGTGACAATGAGCGCTTATCAGTATTAACTAAATGCTGGATTTTCAGTAAACTTGCACAACATTATTGAATGGATGATTTATTAGATGCATGCCGGTCTGTTATCTTAGGGGCATCAACTTTCCGTTTTCACGCCCCTAAACATGCTGTGGAACTAAACGAACTGTGATTGGTTACTTTACATGTCACTCAGACGTCCTCTTGGGCGGTTCTTGGACAATGAAAGCTGCGATGGAGTCCAGACCTTCTGCATTCAGTCTAAGGTCTAGCTACGGAAGACTGAAACAGGCAAAGTCAAGTTCACGTGTGCATTATTTACGTCCTTTTGTGCATATTTAAGTTGTAATATTACTTTTATGTTGTATGCATATGATTAATTTCCCATGGGAGGCATTTGATGGAGTTAATAATTAATTAGCCAGCAAAGCACTTCACTTTACAGGTGTTCACTCACTTAAACGGCAATGCCCGACATTATTGACTTTGATTGGGTTATTTGAGACAGTCATATTCCTTTTAGATGTTTCTTTTTCAGAAAAATGTAGAATATTAATATAGAGCCTAAGTCCCTCCCCTTCCAGTCGACCACCATGGGACCTTATTTCGGAAAAATATTGTATGGTAGTCAATGGCGAGAGACAACAAATATTTTGATCTTGTTTGAATTGTGCCCTGAATTACACATATGATGTTTGTCAATTTAAAAGATACATTTTAAAGTACAGAAAGTCACAGTTTGATGTAAAACTGTTGAGGTATAACTGTGAAAATACGTAATTACAAAGACTACAAACCCAAAAGGAACACATTTTCTCTCAATGAATGAAGCTAACTTTACTGAAGCTAACGTCTGTCATTTTTTCTATAGTCTTACGTTATAATCGTAATGTTACGCCGTCATGCCTGAGTGTTTTGTACCAGACTGCAAACATACGAGCAACGGATCTTGCTCGTTGTTTCGCTTCCCGGGAGATGTAGTTCATTGAGCGATTTTCACACAAAACTAAATGTTACTCTTCTGTTCTATGACAAACTGTGACTTTCATAATTATCTTTTAAATTGACAAACATCATATGTGTAATTCAGGGCACAGTTCAGACGGAATAAAAAGATAAGTTGTCTCTCGCCATTGACTACCATACATATTTTTTCCGAAATAAGGTCCCATGAGCCGGAAGCGGAGGGGAGGGACTTAGGCTCTGTAATCCAGCAATGTTCTTTTTTCTTGTCATATTATTTCAGTTTTAATTCAAATCGTTTCTCGTAATGCCTTCGAAAACGCGCAGGGATGTGTGTAATCACCTGATGAAGTAGATGAAAATACAGTTAAGCCCAAGATGATGTGCAGCGCCAATCTGCCATTTACATAACATTACAATGAGAACACTATAGAATTAAATCGTTGTGTTTAGTTGCCCGTGTTTCAGCGAGTTGTAGAGGGCATTCACAACAGGAATAACACTTTCTGGCTAACATGTAGCCTACTTCAAGTTCACTTGCATTTGCATCCTGTTGTACAGATACAAGTTGTAATGTTACGTTTATGTTGTACATCATGCCATATGAGTGGCACTGCAAAAGACGCAACACGTGAGCGGAATGGTCAAAACATGACCATCTACTAGTACATGTTTACACAGAAACAATGGAAAAACAGCACATTGGCATGCAAAAACACTTTAAATATGGACCCAGGGGTTCAAATAGAATATCAATTAACTTTTTATTATTTCATATTTTAATAAACACAGAAAACAATCATTTTTATGAAATGTAAGAATTTGATATGAATCATGAATCATACAATTAGGTTAGAAACTCACTTACAAAGGTAAAAATGGAAATCAATTTAGTGAAAAATTCTAAACAATTTATGTCAATGCGATGAATCAACCACCACGCAGAATATGAAAAATATGAAAAGCTTTGGGTTCAGTCATGGTATCAGTACAAAAACACTTATAATACTATCATGCAAAATACTGTCAAATTACAGCTGTAAACAAAATCCCCCAAAATATTGAGACAACATTTGTTAATATGGCACAACCCTACTCCCCTTCATGATTAATTTCCCATACGAACAAACTAATTTAAACAGACACTGAAGCAACCAATCAGAGCAAAGCATTACCATGAAAAAAAAAAAACCCGTCTCGGATCACTGCCTCATTGGCTGCCCACACAGCCATCATTCATTCCCTTCCGGCGTAACCATGGTGATGCTGTCAAATATATGGGAAGGCCCACTGATGAACGGTATGGTGAGTGAGGATAGTGGGGGAGGAGGGTAGTGTGTGAGAAACACGCTCTATATAGCATTCACAGCAAATGAAACTGCTTCAATGATCACTTCAAAACCAACTATCATAGTAATTCAATAAAAGCATTCTATGACTTGTGCACCTCATCGAAAGCCAAACAACAGCTTTATTACAACGCGACAAATGCAAGAACCAATGTTGCTTTGGCGTCAATAATAATGTCATATCTGGCATGAAAGGCACATTTTTGTTTAACTGAAAACAAATGAAAGATTTCTGAGCTCCAGCTCAGATTTTCAGAGAATGATGATTTAAATGTTGGTTTGTTTTTCACACTTCTGAAACATTGTGCAGGAATTGTTTGGACTACTTTTATCTTGCATTTATGCTCTCCATTTTCATTGTATGGACATTTGGCCATTTGATGTTGCACTGAAGAATGACAATCATAGAGGGTTTGAATGAGACGATAATGAGGAGATAAACTATGGGAGAACAGTCATTGCACTGTCAGCTCGAGATAAAAACCTTCTTTGGTCATCTACGCTTTGAGGAAAACATCAAACCCTCCATTTTGTTCAATAAACACCAGAAATCCTGAGAACTCGCTGACTTTACTATCAGATGCAAAAAGAAAGGTTCTATGACACCTGTGCAAATAATGCAACAATTAATCTGGCTTTTCCAAAGCAAACAACAAACATGCTCATTATTTGTGGCAAAAAAAACCCCATCATGACAATAATAAGAATCTCTCTGAATAACCTCGCTAACATATCTTTATGCATTATGCATGAATTGAGGATGAGGGAAATATTGGGTTACTTACTAAACTGAAACCAGACCACAGACCACAGGCAAGCAAGACTCATATCAACCCGAGCTTCACGCTGTTATGGAAAGAAATCTAAGCTCGGTCACTTTAAGCTATTTATGGTATTTCTGAGCCTGCTGTGACAACGCTATGAAGTGAGAGGAATACAATGATTTATCACAACCAGCAGAATTTCTTTACAAAATGCATTCAGGCTCAGAGAGCATCATCACTTTGTGCTCTGCACGATTCCTACGGGTCTGAATCAGGTACAATATGAACTGAGATCCCCCTGGGTCAAATCACAAAGAAAAAACTATTTAAGATCTATACAACTATCAGCTCTCACTCTTAAACTATAACCATATGGTTTTGCGCATTGACTGGCCAGCAAGTATGCAATATTTATAAAGAATGCATCACGACTCAAAAGTACTCGAATCAGCATCCTCAGAAAACAAACTCATATCCAGTGACATTCAGTCACTGATCTGCCAGGGTCCATGTGACATGCACTGTATTTTTGGAGCAATAAATGTCAAGAGTTTGATTTCTGATGCTCTCTAAACAGAGAAGTGCATATCCTTACACACCCACTTCTGTGGATCCCCCAGGAATGCTGAAAATAACATGAATTTAGTCATTCATTTTTGTTCCAGAAGCACTTCACAGTTTCCAGAGTGAATCATCAAACTCATGCGAGTAGAGGAAAAACTGTATTTACCATAGTTCTTGCATATAAGCTATATGCTAGTTTAACTATGGTATTAGTGTAACAGAGTAAGCAAGCACTGCATTACCATGGTTAGACCAACATAACCAACAAACAAACAAACAAACAAACAAACAAACAAACAAACAAACGGTATTTGTTGTCAAAGAGCAGCCTAAACAGATTTTTTTTTAAACTCAAGTAAAAAAAAAAATTAAGTAACGTTAACTTAGATACCACAGTTAGCAGTCAATTGGACCATAGTACATTTTCGCGATTTCTAAAACTAGTACATGTCACAAACACATATCCCCCTTTGGACTACAACCTAACTTAAACACCCCAATATTAATAAAAAATATAGTAAAACCCCTTAATATCAATAGATAACTACACTAAATTGTACATTTATCAAATAAAAACACTGCCCATAAGCCCTCGGCATTTAGCAGCCGAGCTAACTTCAAAAACACTGCGCTGCTTTGATTAAGGTCTCCACAAAAAGTATAACTCGTTAATACACCACTTTAAATCATAACACTCTGTTTAAATTAAGCATTTAAACCTGATAAACTCATAGTACGTGTAAAAACAGGGGAAATAAACTGTCTTTGGGTGTGATAAATTTGAGGTTTACACATTGGTTTCGCTTCGGCTAGCGCGTTAGCCTAGCTCAGCGTTTGAGGCCCCATATACATATACTAAAACACTGAAATGGGTAATAAAACGCATATAAAGTGTGTTATGTGTTGAATTGGTGTATTATAAACCATAACGAATTACAAAGCAGTTGTAATGTGGTGATTTCAGTCTACTCGACAGCATTCTCACTCGACAACACAAGCAGTCGGATCATTCATCTCTCGTGTCATTTCTCCGGTGTTTTTGAATATTTTGCAGGGTTTTGTAATGTCACCTGTATGTAGTTGCTCTCGCAGTACTCGGCGACTCTCTCTAGGTTGGCATAGCTGTCCAGCAGAGCTCCTCGACCAGCAGGAATCTCCTCTTCCAACAGCATCTGCAGCTCCGCCATCTTCACATCTTACTGATGCATGCAAGAGGAAAACACCACCATCACACTCCCTCACTGATACATGCAGGAGGAAAACACCATCACATTACCCCCCTCTCTCTCTTTCACATTCACACATTCTCTTTCCTCCTCCCCTATACGTTTATTTCTATTCGTCACTCTTTTCTGTCTTTTTGGTGTATTTTTTATGATATTCAGACAGACAAAGATAGACAGACATACAGAGATAGACATACTTTTTATTTGTATTAGTATTGAAAGATTTCAGTTAAAAGATTGGATTCATTGTTTATGAAATGTTGTTGACCGTGGCATTTTGACGGAATGAAGCTCTAAAAACTGTGGCATATAGTTTTAATAACCTGGACCATTTTTAAATGACATCGCATTTATCTCATCAATCGCTGCCCGACACAACGTTGAGCACATGCCATTGTCCATGTATAATTCACATTTCCCAGAAGAGGCTGTCAGGGACGTGAGATATGAGCCCTTCAGTTCCTCTTGCTGACTGTGATCCAGGTGTCATCTTTAGGTGTGGTCACCAGCTCATACCTGGCCTCAACCACCTGCCCTTTAACACTGTGCAGTCTCAATCTGCGCACCAGTGTGCTGAGCAGCATTGCGGCCACAGTATATGCAAATCTAAAAAGAGGAAGAGAAGAGACAGGGAGAGAAGATTTGTGAACTAGATGACATTTGAATGTTTCCTAAAGGAATAGTTCACCCAATGATGAAAACCTGGTCATTATTTACTCACCCTAATGTTGATTAAAACATTGTTTTCTTTCTTTGACAGAACAATAAAAAAACAGATATTTAGCAGAATGTCCTACACATTTATAGAAGTGGTTCTCAACCAGGGTGCCAGGGACCACTAGGGGGCCTCAGCACACTTCAAAGGGGGCCACAAGATGGCATAAATTGATAAGACAAAACCAGCTTCAAAATAAGCTACTGTAAAACAGCAGAAAATCAAGATATAAACTGATATTATACTTGTTATTTTAATTCTCTTAAAAACTTTTCATTTAAAGTGCCCCTATTATGCTTTTTCGGATATTACCTTTCATGTACGTAGTGTGTAATGTGTCTGTCTGTGAATGTAAACGGACTGCTTGATAAATGGAGAACAAAAGAAAGGACAGATTCTGAACTGCCTGAAAAGAGTCATCAGTAATTCTAGTCTTACTTCCTGGACAAAACTATGTAGGTTTACAACTAATTTGCATAATGAGGGTGAGTAAATGAACAACCTGAGGGTGAGTAAATGATGACATTTTTCATTTTTGGTTGAACTATCCCTTTAGGATAATATCTGTATTTCTTTGTACCTTAGTTCAGGGCAGGCCTGACTCCCTGAAAACCCAAGCAGCGAGAAGCTCTTCATCACAGACTCATCAGCAAATCTGTCAGGATTAAACCTTTCAAGGAAGACAAACCGATAAGAATACCAGCAAAGCATGAACCTTTCACAACCTTGTATGGGATGAACATACACAAACACACCCCTACCTGTATGGAAGTGACCAAGTATCTGCATCTTGAAGGACGACACCCAGGGCATAGATAACCAATGTCTACAAACATCACAGAACAACAAGTCTTGTTAGCATGCGTCTCCTCTATCAAAGTCAAGCTGTATTAATAATAACATTATAGGCAAGTCACAGCACTATATTGACTAGACTAGATATAATTAGCAGTATCTAAAAGCAAAATAAAATGAACATGCAAGGGGCAATGGGTGTGTAGAATTTTGTGAATGATTGGCTCTTAAATCCTGCAGTTTTTCTTGTTGTTGTTTTTGTGTTGGCCTGGTAATGAGAAAGGCAGGTTCTTACTTCTTTGGGAATGACGTGTTGGTCCACCTTCCCCTCCACCTCCTGTAATCTGGCAGCCATGGGTGTCAGTTTGGCTGTGCGGACAGTTTCATTCAGCACCTGCTGGCAGTATCTGGTGGGGAAGACATGAAAAAGTATGATGATTTCCATGTTGTATTACTTAAAAAAAATGTAAACTTGGTCTGCTGCCTAACTATAAAGTTATATTGCTGTTATGCTGTGCTGTCTTATGAATTTGCCAAGCAATGTCCCACCTGTTCTGTTATATTCAGGACAGGCACTGTTCTGTTTCTTTAAGTTCTAAATGATCCTTGTTTACCACCTAAGCAGGTGGTAAAGATATTTTTGTGTAAATATACAAATGTTGCATCTTTTAATTTTCACTTAAAAAAAGAATAATGATGATTTCCAGTTTACCCTGCAAAGTGTTTTTAATGAAATCACAAAATTCCCGCACATACCCCTTGGTGGTATATGTACAGAATTTTTTTTTTTTTATATATAAATACCATCTCTTTTTACCAAAACATCTCTTTTTTTGTCCACTAATATGAAAACGTTTAGGCCTGGTTTCACAGACAGGGCTTAGATTAAGCCAGGATTAGGCCTGGATTAGGCCTGGGATTAGGACATTTACGTAGCTTTTATAAACGTCACTTAGAGAAAAAAACATTATCCCCAGGTTTCACAGACAAGGCTTAAGCTTAGTCCCAGACTAAAATGTAAGACGTAAAATGTAAGATGTTAACTTAACCGTCTTAACTAAAAACAACTTGCACTTACATATCTTAAAATATGTCAGTGCCATTGTTTTGTCTCAAGATGCACACCAGTAATTTCTTTTTTTCTAAAGCACGTTTATAAAAGCTACTTAAATGTCCTAATTGAACTAAGGTCTAATCCTGGCTTAATCTAAGCCCTGTCTGTGAAACCAGTTAATGAGATGAAGATTAATCACTTACAGTCATCATGATTTATCATCTGCTGAATGAATAAATTCACCTAAGACTCACCTAAGCTGTGGAATCTTCTCTAAGGAAACAGGCTCATCTCCGAGGACTTCAACAAGTTCATTATAGAGCCGATCCTGCACTGCTTCTGAGACTGATAGGAAGTGAACTGCCCAGATGCACACTGGGAAATTATACAGATGAGAATAACAGAAATGCAAACATGAAAGTGAAACAGAAGAGATACACTGGATTATTATCATTAACTAAAACTTTTTTGTTAACTGAAATAAAAAATAAAAACATTTTTAATTTGTGCTGTCAAATCGCTTAATCGTGATTAATCACATCTAACACAAGTTTGTAAAAAAAGTATAAAATTATATATATATATATATATATATATATGTGTGTGTGTGTGTGTGTGTATACATATATATATATACAGTGTATATATATATATATATATATATATATATATATATATATATTTATAAAACGGTTAGTTCCAATCCTTGATTCTGATTGGTCAATAGCTGTGCTTTATTCATGATAAAACACGGCTATGACCGCTTCACCCAACGGTTCAATTTATCACTGCGCAACACTGCAGTTCCTATGTTGTTTTTATTTGAGCTTTCATGCATATTACACATTGGAACGTTGTTGCTGTTCAAGTGCTGTATCGTGAATAAGTAACGGCTGAAGGGGTTGCAGGCACTCCGCTTTGCGTCGTGCCTAACAACGCCCCTGAGCCGTTACTTATTCACGATACAGCCTCTCGTACCTTATTGCTTACATACACTCACCGGCCACTTTATTAGGTACCCCATGCTAGTAACGGGTTGGACCCCCTTTTGCCTTCAGAACTGCCTCAATTCTTCGTGGCATAGATTCAACAAGGTGCTGGAAGCATTCCTCAGGGAGTTTGGTCCATATTGACATGATGGCATCACACAGTTGCCGCAGATTTGTCGGCTGCACATCCATGATGCGAATCTCCCGTTCCACCACATCCCAAAGATGCTCTATTGGGTTGAGATCTGGTGACTGTGGAGGCCATTTTAGTACAGTGAACTCATTGTCATGTTCAAGAAACCAATTTGAAATGATTAGAGCTTTGTGACATGGTGGAAGTAGCCATCAGAGGATGGGTACATGGTGGCCATAAAGGGATGGACATGGTCAGAAACAATGCTCAGGTAGGCCGTGGCATTTAAACGATGCCCAATTGGCACTAAGGGGCCTAAAGTGTGCCAGGAAAACATCCCCCACACCATTACACCACCACCACCAGCCTGCACAGTGGTAACAAGGCATGATGGTTCCATGTTCTCTTTCTGTTTACGACAAATTCTGACTCTAACATCTGAATGTCTCAACAGAAATCGAGACTCATCAGACCAGGCAACATTTTTCCAGTCTTCAACTGTTCAATTTTGGTGAGCTCTTGCTAATTGTAGCCTCTTTTTCCTATTTGTAGTGGAGATGAGTGGTACCCGGTGGAGTCTTCTGCTGTTGTAGCCCATCCGCCTCAAGGTTGTGCGTGTTGTGGCTTCACAAATGCTTTGCTGCATACCTCGGTTGTAACGAGTGGTTATTTCAGTCACTGTTGCCCTTCTATCAGCTCGAACCAGTCTGGCCATTCTCCTCTGACCTCTGGCATCAACAAGGCATTTCCGCCCACAGAACTGCCGCTCACTGGATGTTTTTTCTTTTTCGGACCATTCTCTGTAAACCCTAGAGATGGTTGTGCGTGAAAATCCCAGTAGATTAGCAGTTTCTGAAATACTCAGACCAGCCCTTCTGGCACCAACAATCATGCCACGTTCAAAGTCACTCAAATCAACTTTCTTCCCCATACTGATGCTCGGTTTGAACTGCAGGAGATTGTCTTGACCATGTCTACATGCCTAAATGCACTGAGTTGCCGCCATGTGATTGGCTGCTTAGAAATTAAGTGTTAACGAGCAGTTGGACAGGTGTACCTAATAAAGTGGCCGGTGAGTGTATATATATATATACACACACACACAGTATGTATATATATATATATATATATATATATATATATATGTACACAAACTTTTAGGTTAGATGCGATTAATCGATTTGACAGCACTAACAAAAATAAAAGCTGATTCAAAATATAAAATAACTATTTACAAATAATACTAAAATAACACTGGAGCTACAGAAAAAAGAAATTGAAACTCACAGTTAGCAGTGATGACACAGCCAGCTAGAGTAAAAACCATACCATCCTCCATCACCTGAACACAGCAAAACATTTAATAATTGTTTGTTTAAAATGTAGGGATAAATGTAGGGATGCACCAATATGAAAATCTTAGCCGATACCGATAATTCTTTATATTTGAAAGCCGATAACTGATATATTGGCCGATAAAACTAAATCCAAATTATTATATAATTTTTGAGACCCTGATTACAAAAACAAAAGTCTCACCATTAAAAGCCATGACCCAAGCACACAATTATAATGTTCTCATTATAATTTTATGTAGCCTAAATGACAGACTTGCACTGCACATGCTGCACTTAACTGTATTTTCCTTTTTTGAAGTGATTTCAATCATTTTTCAAGCAATTCAAAACCATATAATGTTAAACAGTGCGCATCTGAAGCGTCTCAGCTGAAGGAAATAATCCATTATTTATAGTCTTTAACATATCGGCCAAAATTTCTCTTGGTGGCCGATATATCATGCATCCCTAGATAAATGTGGTAATAATAATAATAAGTCAGTATCCCGATTTAAAAATGTGTTGAGATGTCACCTGCTGCTCTGTCAGATTGGCCTGTAGTAAATAGTTAACGAAAGATGAGTGACTGGATCCTTGGCCGGCTCTCTGCTTTCCCACAGACTTCAACACTGACTCCATCTCAGCCAGAGCTGCAAATAACAAACCCACATGATCAACTGACATTGAACTATCAAAAAATAAAGTCAGCAGCACTATAAAGCTGCCTTCTTTCTTACCACTCTCATAATGGGCCTTTCTGCTGGAACTCTTCTCTCCATCCAGATAACCTTTACCGATCTCTGACCAGATCTATTCAAATCCACAATTGTATACATTTATGTGTAAAATATCACATTTCTAATCTTTTTAAAATATCATTTTGATACGTATGACGCTAAATGACTGATGAACGCTCACCGCTTCATGGTTCTTACGAAACCGAATGACCTCAGCATCATCCTGAAAGCGACTCCCCATGGCAAGCTGAGTGACAGCCTTCATTGCCAATCCAAGCAGATGAGCACAAAGTGGTGTGTGCTGTGATTCAGGATAAGATGCCCACTTATCAACCAGCTCCTCCACCAGCTAAAAAAAGAGGAATTGCATGTCCATAAACAAAAAAAAGGGCACTTTCTTATATAATCCTTATATTTAGTATTATTCATTACATGGAGAAAAAAATTCTAATCCGCAACAGTTTAATATCAGAAATAATTCAAGAACCTTAGAGTAAGGCAAATATCATTGGGTCAGATTAATGCAATGAAAAGAACTTTGTTGCTGTTGGTCCTAATAGTGAAAAAATGTGAAACAAGTGATACATAAACCCCTTCACAGACCTGAAGCAATAGAGGGAAGTTGTTCTCTAAGGTTTTATTGATAGCTCCCTCGTACACCTTTTTTCGTATCATCGACTCAGTCGCTCCCACTCCTGAACCTGACTGGTAACCAAGCAGCGACTTGAGCATTGTCTCAAACGAATCCGCTGAGGAAAGGGTACAAACATATCTGTTAGATAAAGCATGCATAATAATATGCATAATTCATTTATAACATTCTTTTTTTTTTATAAAAGGCTACTCACTGGTCCAGTTGGGGTTGATGTGTTGTCGCAGTTGGTCCACAGCGCCCAGGCTGACCACTGGTCTCCTGCCGAACCAGAAAGATGCCACTGACCCAAACTCATCATGAAGACCCACCAGGAACTCATGCAGGCTTCCTTTGTTCACTATATCTTGCAGATTCCCATCTCTGGAAAAGCGAAGAAAGATGTTTGGAAAAATTGACTAGAGATTGAAAGGAAAGAGAATGAGAGTATCTTAATTTACTTACTTCTCTTCAGTGGGGTTTAGTCCAGGAACACCTGAGGCTCGTCTAGATGACTGGCAATAAAACAAGAACACGTAGGGTTAATACAGTTAACCCTAGTTTTAAGGGATGACCCCCCCAAATGTAATAGTCCAATGACTACCTTCTAAAGGCAGCAGGTCAGAATTGAAACCAAACTTATTTAATAGCGATTCAAACATATATTTCATGTAAAACAGGATCACAACAAACTAACGTTACGCAACAATTTGTAAGACTGATCAGATAATATTATAAAATTGTTCACCGGATACAAATACAGGACGGCACCGATGAGGATAATGACAAATGTCACTGCAAATATAGCAAAATCCAGCATATTTGCTTTTCAGAAATGTCTAAGGATCGTCATAAATGTAACTAATCTGTTCAGTGAACTAGTAGCTAACAATCCACGTCTGCAGTGACCATCAGAAACCTGCGCCCCTGCAGATCGGCACTCAACTACACATCCTGTAAACAAGTCTAAAACAATCAATCGCAGAGAGGATGGGTTTGTTTTTTGGGAATATGATTTTTTTTTTATCTATACATATTCTATGATTAAATCTATTTATTACCACATGTGCCCAAACAGGTTCAAATAAAACATTATTGTTTGGCTCTTATTAAATATACCTTTTTGGATCATACGTTAATTTTATTTTAAATAGACGTTTTCGTAAAATCGTAAATGTGTGGCTATGCTATAAAATAACTCGTTTACCTTTACCACATGGGTTTGTTCTTAATTAAAGGGGCGGAGCTAATGTTAATTAGGGTCGTTATGAGCTCTTTAAATGTGACACGCAGGAAAAATGACGTACTTAGCGAAAGTAAGCAGCAAAAATGTTGGTAATTGCAGCATCAATTGCGTTTACGCTTAGTGTATGTTTAAGCAATGCTCAGGATCCACAGTTTCCCTGGCAAATGCCCCAACGTCAGGCCGGTGGTTCATCATTCTCACCGGGTCTGAAGGAGGTGTTTAATCCCCAGAAGAGCCCCTCCTCCGGGTCTCAGCGCTGTGTGGTGGAGCAGCACGAGCGCATTGAGTGTGGAGAACCTGACCTCACTCCAGAAGAATGTGACGACATCAGCTGCTGTTATGATGCACAGGGCTGTTATTATGCCAAGGCAGGTGAGTAACTACACAACACCGTGAAAATGGATGATTATATTGTGATCAGCTTATTAATTGGTAGTACTTTTTCTTTATCGTATTTATGAGCATTACTATAATTTTGTGGTAGAGTGACCCTAACTGGTATTTTGCCTCTAATGTTTACCAAGGCTGCATTTGTTTGATCAACAATACAATAAATTGAGTTAATGCGATTTTAAAATAACCATTGTGTATTTGAATATACTCTAAATGTAATTTTGTTCCTGTGAAGCAAAGCTGAAATTTTAGCTTCATTACTCACGTGATCTTTCAGAAACCATTCTAATATGCTGATTTGATGCAAGAAAGAAGGATTTCATTTTCTTCTTATCAATGTTTAAAACAGTTTTTTTTTTTTTGGAAACCGTTATACACTACCATTCTAAAGTTTGTGGTAATTAAGAAGAAAAAAGTACTTTTATTCACCATTGATGCTTTAAACTGATTTTAAAAAAGTTATGTTTATTATTTTACAAAAAAAAATGGCTGCTGAAAATTCAGCTTTGGCGTCACAAAAAATAAATTGCATTTTAAAATATATTAAAATAGAAAATGGTTATTTTTGAATTGTAATATTTCACAATATTAATGTTGTTGTTGTTTTACTGTATTTGATCAAATAAATGCAGCCACAGTGAGCGTTAGCAAATTCTTTCAGAAAAAAAACTTGCTTGTTCCAGATATTTGACCAGTCGGAAATCAAGTCAATTTGTATAGTGAAAAATTAATTTGACTGCTATGGCAGTAAAAAAATTCTAAAATTGTTTATGCATTTTTTACATTTTTTATATAATACCATATTTGATCTGATATAAACCTCCTAAATTGATTAAATCATGATTAAATTGAGTTATCCATGGATTTCCCAGTGATTTACTGTAGGTTTACTCCAAATACCATAGTTAAACCATGGTTTGTATGTAGAAAATATATAGTTATACGCTGTCTGGCCAAAAAAAAAAAAAGTGGCTGTTTGGATTTAAATAGGAAAATACTTAAGAGTCTATGACTGGAACATTATTATATTTCTGGCATGTTATATGTTTGGCAACAGTTCTTCTAACCCTAATAAATGGTGTGTAGCTATTCATTTAATAAACAACCATGAAGACACGCACATCATGGCCATATTCCCGGATAACGATGTCTAGATTCATCAGGCTCAAATTGATTAAATTAAATTCATTGAAACTCTTTGGGATGTGCTGGAGTAGACTTTCAAGAGTGACTCATGCATTTAAATCCTAACAGTGAAGACTTTTTTTTTTTTTTTGCCAGGCTATGTGTGTGTGTGTATATATACTATACAACCTATATCATATAGTTACCACTGTATGATGTCTCAGTTATTGTGTGCAAAAAGACTGATTACATTGAAGTGTTTTCTTTTTTCCCTGTTTGTTCCAGTTACCCTGCAGTGCACGAGGGATGGGCAGTTTGTATTGGTTGTAGCTCGAGATGCCACCCTTCCACACATCAGTTTAGACTCCATCCACATGCTGGAGAACGACCCCAGTGGCCATTGTGCATCTGTCAGCAGTACTGCCACCTTTGCCATCTATCAGTTTGCTGTTAGCTCGTGTGGCACCAGAATGAAGGTGGGTGTGAATAGAGGGAGAGCCTTTTTGAGTATGTTATTAGTCATGGGGGAGAAAAAGCATGACATTTGTCATTGTTTTAGTTCACCCTACGGACACTGTCCCATTTTATTTCCTTCAGGAAGAAAGCGGTTTTGTTATTTATGAGAACATAATGTCGTCTGCGTATGAAGTGGGCATTGGACCTCGTGGATCAATTTCGAGAGACAGTGCTTATGAGTGAGGAGGGCTCGTCTCGTCATATGCACTTTTGGAATTCACCTTGGTGGTCTGTTTTGTGTTCAGCGTTTTGGTAAGAAAATCAGTGGAAAAGGCCCTCAGTATTTCCTGTCTGTGTCTTGAAGGCTGGAGTTCCAGTGCAGGTATTCGGGAACATCAGTTGAGGCTCTGGTGGCGGAAGTGAATACGATTCCTCCTCCTCCCCCCGTCTCTCAGCTTGGGCCACTCCGAGTGGAGCTCAGGCTCGCCAAGGGACAGTGCACTGCTAAAGGATGCTCTGATGGTAAGCAGAATCCTGAAACTAACTATTTGACGACATAACCAATACGAGTTTACAATAAAATCATGAAACCCATCCAGTTTACCAAATCATCCTGAAATGTTCCTTGTCAAGCACAGTAAGGTCACAAAAAATCTGGAATTATTTCTCCAAAGTTATAGAAATTAAAGTATAAAGACATGATACTACTGCAATTTCTATATACACTATCGTTCAAAAGTATGGGTTTGGTAAGATTTGTTTTTGAAAGAGGGATCTTATGCTCATCAAGGCTGCATTTCATTTGATAAATACAGTAAATCTATAATTGTGAAATAACTTTTCTATTTTAATATACAGTAGCCAACATTTGAAGTGGATCAACCTTTCATCAAAGTTGTACATGAATTTCTTGTCTTAGAACAACTTTGAACTTTTTTTTTTTATCCACTTCAAATGTTGACTACTGTATATTAAAATGTAATGTATTCCTGTGATGACAAACCTGAATTTTCAGCATCATTACTCCAGTCTTCAGTGTCACATGATCCTTCAGAAATCATTCAAATATCCTGCTCAAGAATCATTTTTGATAATCATCAATGTTGAAAATCGTCATTCTGCTTGATATTTTTGTGGAAACGGTGATGCTTTTCCCCCCTAGTATTTTTTTTATTTTTAATAGAAAGTTCAAAAGAACAGCATTTATTTACTTGTGTACTGTATTGCATTGAATACCAGTAATACGACAATCATTAATACCAGGTCTATATCAAATTACTAACATCGTAGAAGAGTGACATGCAGTTAATTAATTAATCTCCTTATGCATTTAAGAGGATATGTACACTTCATACTACTCTGAGGAGGACTATCCTGTTACAAAAGTGTTGAGAGAACCCATATATGTGGAGGTGCGGATTCTAGAGAGGAAGGATCCAAATCTTATCCTGGTCCTGGACCATTGCTGGGCCACTTCTACTCCTGAACCCCTGAGCCTGCCTCAGTGGGACCTAGTGCTTAATGGGTAAGCCTGAATTCTTTCATAGCTTCGAAATGTATAAATAGGTTTAGGAAACTTCAAAGCTTGCCACATACCTCAATGCCAAAAAACGTAATCACTATTTGAAGTGTACCATTTTTCGAATTACTCTTCATAGCTGTCCATATAAGGATGACCATTATCTGACCACTCAGCTTCCTGTTGGACCCTCAGGGCTGCAGTACCCGTCACATCACAAGTTCTTTGTGGTGAAGATGTTCACCTTTGTAGATCAGTCCTCTTTTGTGCCTTTACAGGAAAGGGTATGTATCCTTTAGCCCATCACATGTTTTTCTCTTAGCTCCGACTTATGTTCTTGTCCTCTGCCCTCTCTTCAACAGATTTTCATTCACTGCACTACGTCTGTTTGCCACCGTTCCGCCACTGAGCCATGTGAGCCCAGCTGTGGCAGCAGGACGAGTGAGTGTGTGTGTGTGTGTGTGTGTGTGTATGTATAGAGGGTGCAGGCCCTTTACATGCAATCTGCAAGCAATCACATTACCGCATGGCACAAGCTGATTGGCTCTGCTGATCCTGCAGCCACTGAGATTGCTTGCTCAACATTTAAATGGTCTGGTTCAATGTTTCAGAGTTCCTCTGAAACCCTCCACCTGCCTAGATCTGCTATGGGATTTATGAATGTCTATTTATGCAGCAGCAGCAGCATATCTTGGATGCTCACAGTGTATCTGTTAGGAGTAGCAAGTCTCGGTACTTGCTCGGCAGCAGCAGTGTAGCAGATCTAGTCCGCCAAGACCAAATACATTGACATCGCCATATTCAATAACATACTAAAACTATTCCGGGAGTTGTCATGATTGAAATATAAATGTATAGTGCAGCTATATGGAAGATTCTTAATGTTGTGGTGTATAATAATATTAATTGAATTTATATACAATTATTATATTCTGTAACAGCAAGTCAACTGGGTATAGCTACATGGGAGATTCTAGATATTGTGGTCTATTATATAATAATATACATTTATTTAATATGAAATATTAAAGCAGGCCAGTGAGTACAGCTATATGGAATATTCTAGATGTTGTGGTATAATAATAATAAATTATAAAAATGATAATAAATATTATATAATTAAGTGTAGTAACAATAATAATTGTATAATACATTTATATCAAATTATTATATCATGTAACAGCAAGAGTGGGTACAGCTACATGGGAGATTCTAGATGTTGTGGTCTATTTATATATGTGCATTTAAAATTATCATGTAATGTTACAGCAGGACAGTGAGTACAGCTACATAAAAGATTCTAGATGTTGTGGTGAATAATAATAATAATAATAATAATAATAAAACATTATATATTTGCTTATATAATGTTACAGCAAGACAAGTGAGAACAGCTACATAGATTCTAGACGTTGTGGTGTGTACATTTATTATTATTATAATTAATTTTCTATTTTTTTCTGTCCTTTTAGGAAGGGCCATTTCAGGAGACTTAAAGGATTCTAAGGAAAAGGTTGTAGTTTCGAGTGGGGAAGTCATAATTGTATCCCATTTGCCGGTTTCTGACAATCTTGTGTCTAAGGAAGGTATGAAAGCACTGTGATATTTGTTAACATTCATACAGTAAACAACCAATCCAAACTAGCTTTTACCTGGAAGTGTTTACCTCTTCTAGTCCCGCAGATGTTGGATTATGGATTATGGGCGGCAGGAGCTCTCACAGTGTTTGGTGTCTGTGGGCTTGTGATGGCTGTTATTATACAGCGGACCAGACCTCGTCCTCAGCCTGCTCCAGTGTGATGTTAATAAATCACGTAATAAAACGACAAACTAATATGGCCTCTTTTTTTGTGATCACTTGTATTGATCAGACAGAGAATGGTTTATCAATTTCTTTTATTGCTGAAACCTTACAATGGGCAAGCATTAATGTATATACAATGACAATGTATCAAAATATAGTAGGAAAAAAACTACTTTGGGTGCCTTATGCAGTGATGTCCTTCTCTTCTGCTTTTGGATATTCCATTTCCATCGACATTAAAAAATCTACGAGGGGAAAACATGCATGCGTGTATTTATGTATGAAATTTTAGAATTTCAGTTTAGAACACACCAGGTTATATTCAGAATGTATTCTACAATTTTTTTTTTTTCAAAATGTACTATATACTACTTTTCAAATGTTGGTAAGAGATTGAGAGTAATGGGTGCTAAACAAATCAGCTTTGCAATCACAGGAATAAATAACTATTTTAAAATAATAGAATGGAATACATTAATTTTACATTTTAATACTGTGAAAATGCTGTTTTTAAATGTTTTCAAATAAATGCAGCATTGAGTATAAGGCTTTTTATGAAAACAGTAAAATTTTTTTTAGCTGTTTTAAAAAAAAAGTCTTTTAACTAGTCATTTATTTGAAGAAACAGTAAAAACGGTGATATGTATCACATTTTATTATAAAATGTAATTTATTCCAGTGATGCAAAGCTGAATTTTCAGCATCATTACTCCAGTCTTCAGTGTCACATGATCCTTCAAAAATTACTGTAATTTGGTGCTCAAGAAACATTTATTATTAGTCTGAATGTTCAAAACCGTTGTGCTGCTTGATGTGTACTCTCACCTACAATATGCCCTTTAAGATCGAATAAACTTAATTTCTCAGGATTTAATGGATAGAATTTTTTTTTAAAGAGCAGCCTTCATTTGAAATAAATCTTTTGTTACATTTGATAATTGAATGCATCTTTGCTGAACAAAAAGTTTCTTTAAAAAAATTGGTTAAACTATTTTAAGGTGAAGTAGTTACATTGTACTTAATCAAATAAGTACTGAGTAACATTAACTACATGTACTTACTATAGAGTTAAGGTTTGGTTTAGGGTTACTTACTAGTAATTCTGCATAATTTACTATTATTACTATAGTAAGCACAAGTAATGTGTAACTCTCACCTTAAAAATAAAGTGTTCCCAAAAAATCGTACTAATCCCAAATGCTTGAATGGAAGAATCTTTTTATAATCTTTTTATTTTTATTCTGAAATAACTGCAGCTGAATTAAAGGTGTAACTTGATATGGTTCCCATGATGACACGGTAGCGTAGAAATGTGAATCGTTGTATAATGTGCTCTGTTTTACATGCATTTTTCTTAAACCATATGCAGTACACTAGTATTCAATTCCAAACAAACTGTTCTCTGAACTTCAACATCCTGTAGCATTTACCTTCTGTGTGGTCGATATCTGGACTTGTTGACATCAGAACCCAGGCCAGCCCGACCAGCAAAGTGACCACCAGATTCACTATGATCCAGGGATAAAGAAAGCTGTGCTCTGAGCCCGGCTGCCTGAAAGGAGACAACAACCGCTTCACTTTTAATACTGTAGGGATTTACCCAGCATGCTCTAATGCGATGGATCTTACCAGAGTGTTACATTATCACTGGAGTACTGATTATAGAGATTGATACGGTCACTCGTCATCTGCTGGCTTAACAATAAAACAAGCGCAGAAAAGTAAACTGAAAAAGAAAAGGAATACATTAAAACATTGCTGTTTGCATGTATGGCTACAGACATTAGTCAAGGTGGATGCCATATTGAAACATTGCTGAAAACGAGGCTGTGAGGGATGTAACTTTCAAAGCTTTTTATAAAAATTTTGGTAACACTTTATTTTACAGTGTCCTTGTTACATACGTTACATGTACTTACCATAGTAATAACAGTAAATTATGCATAATTACATGCAACTAACCCTCAACCAAATCCTAATCCTACCCTAACCCGATAGTAAGTACATGTAGTTGCTCAATATTACTCAGTCCTTAAATGTCTATAATTACACTGTAACAGTGACACCTTAAAATAAAGTGTAACCGATTTTTTTTCATAAAGACATTTTGTCACCTGAACAATTGGTATGTTGTTAAACAATACATTGAACGCGCTGTATTCTATCCCTCACAGCCTCGTTTTCATTCCTATCAAAGAAATAAACATGGCGCTACCCTGACTAAGGTCCATTGCATGAGTACATAAGGAAAAATACAGAAGGAAATGCTGAACTCACAGAAGGAGGCAAGCGCCACAGGACTCAGGGTTAGCAAACTCCGCATGGCCGCAGAGGCTTTGGCCAGATTTAACCTATTAGGAGAGAGAACAAACACTTGTTTAATCTCAAGGGCTCTGAAAGCTGAAAACACTTGTGACTACAGTGTAACTGTACTTTTGTTGGTCCAAGTGAATGGCCATGGTTAGGTTTGGCGATCACCTGTCAAAGGCAGAGACGGTGCTGAGAGCCAGCAGCAGGTAGAGCAGGGACTGTGCGGGGTAGGCCAGGGTATGATACTGCTGCAGGAGGTTGGAAAGAGTGCTCAACTGTTCCCCAGCCAACACATAGACCACAATGATATTCCACACAGCATAACCAGCCAGAAAGCCGTGAGAAAACAGGCCAATCACTCTGTGTAGTAGGAACAGTCACGGATTAGAAAATAGTCTTTCCATAGATGTACACTACCATCCAAAAGTTTGGAGTCAGTGAAATTTTTTTTTTTTTCAGCAAGGATGCATTCAATTGATCGAAAGTGATAGTAAAGACATTTATAATGTTACAAAAATTATTCGATTTCAAATAGAATCCTGAAAAAAAAAGTATCAAGGTTTCCAAAAACAACAACTTTTAACCAATTTATTTTTGTGATAAGAAATGTTTCTTGAGCAGCAAATCAGCATATTAGAATGATGTCAACAGGATTAAAATGCATAATTTTGTATATTAGTCATTCTTTTCCAACCAGACCATACATTTTAACGAAATAGCATGCAATTCATTTTTAAAGAAACTTTGATATTGCTTCCACCCTCTAATGCTACATTCCATTTTTGAGTGATTAAAAGTGCCCATATTATGCTTTTTTAAAGGTTCTGCAGGACTACTACAACAGGTTTACATGCATCCAAAGTCAAAAAAACACTTTAGTTTTCTCATAATATACATTGCACATCACCTGTTTTCTCACAGCGTCTGAAACAGTTTGATAAAGGATTCGGTCTTTCTAAACCCCTCCTTTCCAAGGCCCAGTCTGTTGTGGTTGGTCAGATGGCCCAGTCTGTTGTGGTTGGTCAGATGGCCCAGTCTGTTGTGATTGGTCAGATGGCCCAGTCTGTTGTGGTTGGTCAGATGGCCCAGTCTGTTGTGATTGGTCAGATGGCCCAGTCTGTTGTGGTTGGTCAGATGGCCCAGTCTGTTGTGGTTGGTCAGATGGCCCAGTCTGTTGTGGTTGGTCAGATGGCCCAGTCTGTTGTGATTGGTCAGATGGCCCAGTCTGTTGTGATTGGTCAGATGGCCCAGAGTCTGTTGTGGTTGGTCAGATGGCCCAGTCTGTTGTGATTGGTCAGATGGCCCAGTCTGTTGTGGTTGGTCAGATGGCCCAGTCTGTTGTGGTTGGTCAGATGGCCCAGTCTGTTGTGGTTGGTCAGATGGCCCAGTCTGTTGTGATTGGTCAGATGGCCCAGTCTGTTGTGGTTGGTCAGATGGCCCAGTCTGTTGTGATTGGTCAGATGGCCCAGTCTGTTGTGGTTGGTCAGATGGCTCAGTCTGTTGTGGTTGGTCAGATGGCCCAGTCTGTTGTGGTTGGTCAGATGGCCCAGTCTGTTGTGATTGGTCAGATGGCCCAGTCTGTTGTGGTTGGTCAGATGGCCCAGTCTGTTGTGGTTGGTCAGATGGCCCAGTTTGTTGTGGTTGGTCAGATGGCCCAGTCTGTTGTGATTGTTCAGATGGCCCAGTCTGTTGTGATTGTTCTACCGCTTACAGTGCGTGTTGGAATTACCATATCTGAATTTCAGCTCTAGAGGCTTCCTCAGCACTTGTTTACACAGTGATAAGAACAGTAACGATGGCGTCGATTTTACTGTATCAATTCAAGCCTGAGTCCTCATCCTTTGGAAGTGCATGTAAAGTGGATTTGCTTTCGCAGCGCAGAAAATAACGTCTTCTCAACATGCCGCTAACACGAACCAAACTCGTCCAGGCCTCAACTACAACTACAGTGTTTGAGGGTCAAAGCAGACTGATCACGGGCAGCCAATAAAGACCATAGTCTGGCATAATGCAAATTTGTTACAAACCTACATGGGTTCAATTAGGAAGTAAGACTAAAGACTAATTAGTAGGAAGTAATTACTGGTGACTCGTTTCAGGCAGTTCAGAATTGGTTCTTTTTTTGGGGAGACAACTCCATTTTTCGTGCACTTTGATCTTTGAAACTTTGCAGACCTTTTACATTAACAAACCATCATATTATGATATGAAGGTAAAATCTGAAAAAAAACATAATAGGGGCACTTAAAAAAAAACTTGTTTTTACTCAAAAAGGCAAATCAATTGCGCAGATCTGAAAGAATTGGAAAATAACGTGTCGTTTAAAACCAAATGTGGAAAGGACACCTGAAGGCACTGTGTACTCTCAAGGAGACATCTCTAGTGGTCCACATTGAACGGATGTCCATAAAGCTCTGGTCCATCGGGACACTGGCCTTCCACTGGTCCACTCTCTCAGCTGCTTGAAAACGACCTGCCACCAAAGAAACATGCTCACTACTTACACTTGACCTTCATTTCTTGCATGCAAACAATTTCAACTTACAAAAAAGTAAAAGTTCTTATGAACTTGCAAACAGTCTTAAAGGGACAGTTCACCCAAAAATGAGATTTCTGTCATTAATTATGTCGTTCCAAACCTTTAAGACTCTTTCGTTCATCCTCGGAACACAAATGAAGATCTTTTTGATAAAATCTGAGAGCTTTTTGTCCCTCCATAGACAAATACGCAACTACCACTTT